CCTCCTCTTCCATTCATTCATCAGAGTCTCCACTCTCGTTTTCCACTTGGTTACTACTCGTCTCTCTTATCTTGGCAAGTGTCGATCCATGCGACCTTTCATATGTACTCAACACACATCTTCACGATCATCATCAACAGCTCAATAGTTGATAAAAACACGAAGAACTATCGTGAAACTTTGATTGATTTTTTGAATTTTGAACGCCAAACTCTAGTGCGCAGCAAAACGCTCGAATGCCTTGTAACTTTAAGAGATAAGCCAAAGTTCAAATCATGCCGTTCAAAATTTGGCACATTGTGCGGAATTCACGCTGTTGTGTTGACTTTGATGCAGAAATCAGGATTAACATTGTGCATGCCCCCGAGTGGTGTCTTTGGAAGACGAGTATTTACGTTGCTGGGCCTGGAAGCCGACAGAAAAATCTTGATACGAGTGATTTCGGAAGGGCAAACTGAGTGCAGCCAGAGTATTCCAGCGGGTGTCGTTCGCTTGAAGAGTCCTTAACCGATTTCTTTGCTCGCCTGCCCTCGCCAGGCTCGCTTGGGGAATGAAATCCTGGCGCAACCTCGAACCAGAGTGGCCGTCCAACGTGGCGCGCGATCGCACTAAGATCCCCTTGAGTTGGGAGGAAGATGATTTTCACCTTGATCAACATTGATGTTTATGCTGCTCATCACCAGTTGTGCAATGACTTGATGGTCCTCAAAGCAATGAAGTTCTTTTCCGAGCGTGCGGGCCGGTTCAGCAATAAAGTCCCTTTCCGAGGTGTGCGGGCCGGTTCAAATCAGTCCCCATCAGAGTGCTCATCAGTCCCGCGGCGTTAGAGGCCGATCATACAGGGATTGTATGTACACTGCCCGGAAGGGAGCATCGCTGCACCGCCTCAAGTTTCACAAGCTCACCCCGGCTGCCAAGAAGACGGATTCAGCCGAGAGCTTTATGAGGCTTTATGTCGACATAAGTATTTACATAAATATGTATGCTGTACGTAAATATTTTTGATCACTGACATTTGTCGGGAGAATGTGACTCGGAGTGACAGACCCCGACGAGTGTTTTGCCATTGATTGAGTAAGCGCACATCAGCACATCGTTGAAGCAAGCGTCCGTTGATCAACAAACAATTGTCTCGAGCCTCCGACTCCAGCCTGCAACATTCAGCCCTTCTTAACCGAAGCCTCCAATACGCTCTTCTCAGCTCCAGAGTGCAGCAGCAAGAAAAAGCTTCTCCAGACTGAATCTCTTGGACACCAACGGGGCAACATGGAGCCGGTTGACAAAAAGCACCCAGACGATCCACAGTCCGACCCCACCCCCGTCTCATCTGGCTCCGGCCTTTCATCTGATGTCAATCAGGTCCTCCTGCGTGAAGAAGACTTGTCGCCGAACCGGTCAAAAAAAGTAAGCATGTATTACAAATTCAAATTCCGACCTCATTGGAATGTCGTCTCCTTATGTTAATGACTCGGTTGAACTTTTGAAAATTGTCCATTCTTTGAATGTGGAGCAGGATGAAAAAAGGGCCATCTTGAAACTCGATCTGATGTAGGTTCCTTTGTCTTATTCGCGCCAGCGAAAAAAAAAAATGGCGTTGCATCTTTGATCCGGATATAAATGACCCATGATTTACTTTTCCAGCGTGTTACCCTTGATCGTTATGTTTTACTTCTTCTCGTCCTTGGATCGGTCCAACATCGGTGGGTACCATTTCCACCATGATCATTAAGACTGACGCAGCGGATATAAATCACTTACATGTCCGTATGGGACACCGTGTTTACATTCTTTACTCTTCCTAGGAAATGCTCGAGTTGCGGGTAAGTGTGCAGTAAACCAAAACATAAGATCCCATTCCCCTCGATCCTATCAAACCAGCTGACAGCCCCGTGCACATTTATCCGGTTTGCTTTACAGGTCTGCAGACAGCCCTGAAGCTGTCGGATCACCAATATTCCGTGGCACTCACGTCCACCTTCATGTGAGTAATCGTCGCCAAAAGTTCATCCTCCCCGGAGTTCGGAGTGCTCATCCGCATGCATTCTTTTCTCTTGGTTTCCTTTCCGCTTTACAGCACCTATGTCGTGCGTCACATTCAAGCTATCAGAAACACGACTGCTTTTGAAATCTGATAAAAGTGATGGATTCAGCTGGTCAAAGTTCCAGCCAACTTGGTCCTCAAAAGGATCGGCGCCCACATCTTCCTACCTATGATCAGTTGCGCATGGGGTCTGGTGACGTTCTGTCAAGGCTTTACCACCAACTTCGGGGGCTTAGTCGTAGCAAGGTGAGCTTTCGAATTGTGTCTCACAAACCGATTTGTTGTCTAATCTTATTTATATTTTATAGGTTGTTCATGGGATTGGCCGAAGGTTAGTCTCACAAGCTCATTGCTTCACATTGCAGATGTCCCTTAGCGCAATCAATAGAGAAAAGCTAATAAAATTATTTCAACTTCTCAGGGGGTTTGTATCCTGTATGTCATTCTTGGCAGTTTTTCTAACAGGTGGAAAGGTCCAACTTGAAAGCGATTATTGATTGAGCTTTGATCGACTGCAGGCGATTCTTCTCTACCTGAGTCATTCCTACAGCCGGTATGTTCCCAAACACTGCTGCACATTCCAACGATTTTATCAAGACGTAGTCGATCTGACTCACAACGATGGTTGGTTAAATCAGGGATCAGCTTCAAATGAGGATCGCGATCTTCTACTCCTCAGCGTCGTTATCAGGCAGTTTCTCCGGTCTTCTGGCCTATGCCATCCTCCACTTGCATGAGACTTGGGGCAAACCTGCTTGGGCCTGGTTGTTTTTTGTGAGCAATTCGGGAACAAAAAACCTACCATCTATGTTCACCATCGACGAAGATATACACTGATATTCTCTTTTTTTTGCAATTAAGATTGAGGGCGCAGCAACCATGTTATTCGCGACGATGGCCGCATTCATCTTTCCCGCTTCAATCAACACCAATCGATTATTAAATGACAAAGAAAAACAGTGGGTCATGATTACATGGGTTCTATCGCAACAGACCGAATTGGCAACACTTCAGCCAATTCTAAGCTTCAGATCAGATGACTGACTATCCAATTTTCCGGTAACCAACCAGGATTCTTACAGCTCGCTTGGCCCGGAAGGCACCCTCCACCCTGGACCCAAACGAAAAGTTCAAATTCTCTGAAGTCCTGGAAGCCATCAAAAGTCCCCATGTGATCATCCTGACAATCACACAGTTCATGAGTGGAACGGCCGCGTACAGTGTAACTTACTTCACCCCGACCAGTAAGTCCTCCGTCCGCTCATCTTGAATTCCAGAAGATCATTCCCACCCAGCCGTGTATGGAAGATGCTGATCAACTTGCATGCATTTCGTAGTCGTCCACTCTGTGAGTTATGTATCCAGACCTACTCTTTTTTTCAAGGCCGTAGATCTAAAACAAAGCATATGATTACAACAGCTTGGGTATTCGCCTTCTCGAACTCAACTGATGACATCCCCGCCCTTCGCTGTGGCGTTTGTTGGTAAGTAATGTGTGTCGTGCTACAGCGGGTATGAACGACCTCATAACTGACTTTGTAATTTCGTATTTTAGTCATGTTGGCTGGGGGTTATTTTTCGGATCGCTGCCATGCCCGGGCGTTGACGGCCGGAGTAAGCGCTGCTGTTGCGGTATGTTTTGTTTTTGTTTTTTTAAAAAAAAAAACAATTCATAGTGATCAGCATCAAAACAAAGCTGAGTCAATTTTCACATCGGAACGACAGTTTGTTGGCTTCATGCTTTTTCTGCTCCTCGATCCCTCCCAGACGCATGCGAAGTACGGCTCGCTCTTCCTCGCGATTCCAGGCGTTTTCTCGCTGATACCCCCGATTGGTGCATGGGCGGCCAACAACTCTGATGGCCATTATCGGAGAGCAACGGCGATCGCCTTTTCGTACTCGACGTCCACTGTTGGAGGTATACTCAGTACTTGGGTGTGTTTTTATCTGAAAAAACACTGAGTTGTGGAGATGTGACTTCAGCTCGCCTGATGGTCAACATTCTCGTTTAAATGTCGGAGTAGCTCTTCCCTCATTCCCAAGCCCCGAGATATCGCCCTGGTATCATCGTCAATCTCGTTTGGTGAGCAGTTCATCCATTCCAACAATTTGTCACACTTCCCCAAGTGGCAAGATCTAGCCTCTATTTATTTTGGTCGGTCTCTGAAACAA